TGGAAGGTAAGAAACTGTTCTGCAGTAGCAGGATAAAGATTGGAAACCTTCATTTTCAAATATAGGTGTCCTTGTTTCATACTGAAAAAAGTTAAGCCAAAAGGAGGACCTGCATCACTGTGCAAGATAAGAGCCTCCTTATTCGCCATAGAGTTGGTAAGAGTTGTTGAGTATATTTCCAAAGTGCATGGAAAAGGTTAGAAAGCAATATACACTTTTTCCAAGGAGAAAGGTATCAAAAAAACCCAAAAGAAACAAAACCATTCATATTAGCTTAAAATTACTTACAAAACTAGTAAGCTATTACTTAACTTTGGGATACAATATTAGGTTTGGTTCCATACATCTAATGGGACTCCAGCTCCCATATTCATCCCACAGAGATGAATTAATTTTCAAATAAAAGTTAAGCTCGAGATAGAAAGGTGACTCAAGATGGGAGGTTTCCTGTAATTTTCTATTTAAGAGAACACTCCAGATGACAAAGACCTTTCTTTACTTGACCATTACTGCCTCACCTTCAGCAGAATAAGAGGTATCCGGTTTCATTACAAATCGAAGTAACACCTCTATGCAGTATTGTTCATAAAGTCTTAAGATAACAGCATGCTATGAAGAGGAAGGCAACTGCTCCCATTCCTAGAGGTACAGAAAAATACTTCATCATAAAAGCATGCCAAACCAGAACAGGTCTTTCCACATCAATAATGCAAAATTCACTTTGAAAATACTCACTTTGTTAGAAAACCAATACAAAAAAGAATATTTTCACTGAGATTCCCTGCCCCATACTGAATATTAACCCACTGCAATAATAATCTGAAGGGAAAAAAAAACCAAACCCAAACTATAAAAAGTTACTTTTGCACCTCTGAAAGGATTGAAAGGAGGTAAGACCTACTTGGTGGCAAAAAAGAGCATTGTGCAGTCCACAGGAAGCAACAGTATTAGAAAAAAAACAAACATAACTATTATCACCTTAGTTTTGACACAAAAGCTTTCTTCTCTCTACCTCTCCCACACTCAATTTCTGTGAAGCCAGTAGACATTTATTAAAAAAAAAAAATGTTGGTTTTTTTTTTGCACTGGTTGCTATGTCTGTGCTTTCCCCCCAATTTTACAGGAAAAAACAAACAGGCTATAAAGACAGCATATTTTGAAGGGCTGGCAAACTTTTTTCTAATTCCTAAATCAGCACATCGGTTACATAAATTAGGGCTATATATTGACACTGGCTATTTAAAAGAAAATACATATGTATTTCCAGACTAGAAATATTTCTCTCAGCAACAATCTTACTACTGTTATTATCAGTTAAAAATTTGTCACTTCCTCTTTTCGAGCCTTGTAATTATTTTAACACGTTTTACCCCATTCTTCTGTCATTATGTTTTAGACTGCTCAGTGATTTTGCCCTCTCAGATTATCTTTTTCTCATTTTCTCATAAAAAAAAAGGTGCAACATCTTCAGATACTTAAGAAACAAGACATTTATTAGAATTTTTTTATAGCAAGATTTTCATCATCTTCCTCAGGAACACTGCTAGAAAGGTATGTCAATCAATGCAAGTCTGAAACTTTTGTCTCCCTGACAAATGGGAATATAGTAACCAGTAGAAAAAGAAAAAACTGTGAGATGACTGGCTCATATCTTCTCAGTATCTAGTGGACTACAGTGAAGCACACCTTTGGAGATTTGGAGCACCTCAGCTCCCACAACTGGCAAGGAAAAACATCAGAAAGGAGACAAATCAAGCCAGGATGGGATAGATGGATATAGGGAGGGGTCACAAGCTAGTTTAAGTATGTGCGTAGCCTCTGGCCTCAGGACACCAGTTGCAACAGCTTTTGGGATGCATAAGGTAAAACACCTGATGGCTCTTTGCATTGCGAGCCCCCTCTGCCTGTCCGAGAATACCCCACCACCTGCTAAAGCCAATAGCTTTGTTTCTACAACAGAGTCCTCTTGCCTGATACCTTAGGTTATAGGACTTCCAACTGGAAGACAGTTATGGGTTGATGCTCAAAGACTACCTCATTTTCTTTCATGTGCTAGATTCAATGAAAATCACTGCATCCAAGGAGTGTTTAAAAAAAACCCAGACCAAATTATGCTTCTACCTAGTCTTTCTAGCAGCTTTGTAGTAGGGAATATCTAGTTTGGAAACCCTGATGTGGAGCCTTGACTCCATGTCATCTGTCCTATCCAGTTCCTTTGATGTAGCAATGTCCATTTGGTGTTAGGGAAGATGCTCTTCAGAGCAAAATACTTCTAATAGGTCAGCTACACTCCACCTTCACCAACTGACTGCCTAAAAGGGAGATAGGGGGAAGGGGTTTTGATACTTCATCCTCAACTTTCCTAAGCAAAAGAGGTGACAGAACACCTCTTTAGAGCTGTCTTGCCTGCTGGGAACTTGACAGAAACCTTATGGTTCACTTGGTGAAAGCAACTAGTCAACTATGAGAAAGCTTAGTGGTCTGAGTTAAACCAATGTGACCTAGAAATGTAACCTCCCATTCCACACAAGTAAATAGGTTTTAAAGATTTCTGGTTGAATGCAGCTATTCCAGGAGATGTCTTTGAAGAGCACACGATGCTTCCTATGACTTTCGTAACGATACTTTTTGCACAAAAAGCATTAAATTTCAGAACAGCTGATCCAGTTTTGTTTCAGACTTTTCAGAATAGTAAGGGAGACTAGGAAAAATAGAGTTTTAATCTCCTGCTTCAAGTCCCTCTGGCAGCCTCTTGAGTTTACTTCTATAGCACAATCGATATGAACCATCTGTTCAGAGGGGTTTTGCGGTTTTTTTAGTCTCAGGATCACAAACTGAGTTTTCTGAAATGGAAAGCAAGAGGACAAATGCTTAAGAAATCAAAAATGCTGAAGACCTACATTTAACAAAAGCGTCAGAAACATAAGTCTCTTAGCCCTACACCAGAATACCTTGTCTACCCAGTCAACAGTCTATCCAGCTCCAGCAGCCAGTGTAACATTATTAAGGCTAGCTCTGGAGCATTCACTGGGGAAGGCAGCAAAAAGTACTTCTGCCATTAAACACATTTCATGGAACACGATAAACAAGAAATGTGTGACCTTTCTACAGAAAACCATACTGTAATTTCTTGGAAAAAGGGTGCACCTGACTAATGGCAACATGCTGGTTTTAGCCCTCAAGCAGAATTAAAAACCCGTAAGTACAGTACTTCCCCACACACACTGATTTTTAACATCAGGTTACAAGCATCTAAAGACTCAGGTTCTCTGTGCTGACAGCTGCAAGAAAGTATTCGGCTACACGGTCTTCACAACAGTACTGGGCTTCCCTAGCAGGTTGAGCACTGCATTGGCAGCATGTCAAATCAGTTATTTGCACCCAAATGGTCAGCAGATTAGCAAAATGAGCACAGATCTGTACAGAAAGTGTGAACAGATACGCTGTACCCTGCAATAAGCAGACTACCCTATTACACTCATGTAAAGGCCACATCCCTTATTTATAATGCCAAAACTGGGGAAGAGTGACGCTCTCATTAAAGCCAGTAAGATATACCTGCAGAGGCACAGACACACTTGCAGTCTCTGTACAGAAAACCATAAGCACAGGCACACTTTATTTGTGTGACTTCCTCCTTCAAGACAGGGGTCTGTTCTTGCTCCAGAGTTAGGAGTTTTTACATATTTGAAGAAGAATAATGTTTTACCTGTCTACAGTGCCTTTCACTCAAAGATCTCAAAGGACTTTATACCTATTACGTATGTCCCAACCCCTCCCCTTGTGAGGTAGGTATTATCCCTATTATTTACAGATGGGCAAATTCAGGCACAGAGGTTACATTATTTGCCCAAGGTCACACAGTGAGTCAGTGACAAAATAAAACAGAATCCAGATGTTTTGATTCCTGTTTGCACAATCCAACTACTAACAACATAAGCCTCAATTTCAAAAGAGCCTTAAACAAGTATCCGCATGCATAAGAACAGTCTTAGGTTTCAAGGGCCATTCCTAAAAAGTGTACGAAAGGAGGAAAAACAGGAAATAAAATAATTAAAAAAAAAATATTGGGGGACACACAACTTACTCCTGCAAGCCAACACAGCTTTAAAAAAGAGTTCCTGCTAATTCCCTTCCCAAAGCTGAGGCAGCTTGACTATGAGCCTGGGAAAAGCAGGCTGATGGAACCAAAGTTTGAAACAAAAAAATCAAACTAGAATAAACAGCCACACCATAAAGCCCTCATCATTTTGAAAGCACAGGGTCATAGAAAAATAGGGCTGAGAGGGACCTCAAGAGATCACTGAAGTCTAACCAACCTGCCTTGAAGCCAGGATCAACTACACCTACTCGTTCCCAACAGTCTAGTTCGTATGTTCTCTAAGACCTCCATCAGTGGAGATGCCATGCCCTTCCTCTGCAACCTGTTCCACCTTGCACTGCCACATGAGCAAAAGAGGACAAGTGAGTGTAAGATAGCTACTTCTGCTCCTTCAGTGGGGGTACCGTGATTCCCAGGCCTATCTAATGATCTGAATATATTTCGGAGAAGGTAGTCTCCAGATGTTTACTTGTTTCTGTCCTGGATTCCTTGGGAAAACATCAAACACTGGTGTCTGCTATAGTGTAATATTTGAGGTTTGAAAATACTGATTAATACCAGGATAGATACCAATATACTTACTGCAAGTGCCAAATCCTACAAGGTCAGTAACAAAGACTTTGATATGATAATTTTAGCTCATTGCAGAATTCAAACTGCAATAAGAGGGCAGGGAAGACTACAGAAAAACCCCACAGCAAAAGTCAGCAGCTTTGAGTTGCCAAGTTACATCCAACTGCAGATAAGAATCAGACAGTTGAACACCACATGCTTCAGCAGAGGCAGCACCATATGATCTCTGTAGCATCCCTCCATCTCATCTGTCTTCAAAGTGCATTCTCAGTGCAAAAAGTAGGATTGAATTTAGAGGGGCTCACTGTCCCCATTGGATTTCATACTAAGACCAGAATTCTTGCTTGAGTTCATATGCTGCAGCTTTGTGTGTGTTAAGTTCACTTCTGCATAGCGGAATGGTGCTGTCCTGGCTCTGCCCCTCAGCATCTATGTCCAACAGTGTCCGCTCCTCTACAGGAAGACCCACCTGGAAAGGAAGCAGTGCAGGCAGTCCAGGTCTCTCTTCTACAGTGCTGCTGCTACTAGCAAAACAAGAGTCCAGATTGCTTGGAGTATCAGTACTTGAACTGTTGGCAGAAGATTCACCCTTGGCATTGCTGGGTGACACAAACCACCAGGGATCGAGCCGCTGCCGACTGGCTGCAGGACGTGGCCGGGGCAGGAACTCCAATGTCTTGGGTCTTTCCAGTGTGGGGTCCTGCTGTGCATTCCATCGTCTTGGGGTTGGAGGAAAAACAAGGTTGGGGTCTGGCAGGCGAGGAACCTCATTGGGATCTCTACTTGGACTAGGTGTTTTTAATACACCTATCCAAAACAGAGAATGTAAGAGAAGAGGGAAACACGTTAGATGTCACTGCTAAACGGTTCCAACAGATCTTAGTTTATTGTATGTACACTGTGAAAACATTTTCAAAGCAGAAAGCCTCCATTCAGAATTTACAAACTCCCTATCTTCAAGATTACGCCAATCTAAAGTGGATAACTGGCTTCTTTATCCCTACACTGTTCTCAACACATTGCAAGACACCTGTTTCGCTGGGCTAGCACAAGCAGCAAGTTTTGTTCATCCTCTCTTTTGCTTTCTTCAATTTTCAGATTGGAGAGCATGGCTTTGACATCCTACCAGAGGTGAGGACTCTCCAAATCCTTCGGAGGACACATTACCCATTAACAGCTTGAATGGATCAGGGAGACACTTGCACAACAGGATGTGTGACACCTGTTTGGAGTGAGCAGGACCAACTTCCTGGAAGAGCCATTTAACACTACCTACTCTGGACGCCTCCTGGTTTGTTTTCGTTTAGGGGTGGGGGATGGTGTTTGGTTTTTTTGGCGGTTTTGTTTGTTTGTTTTTAATAAATACAACATAACTTTTAAATTTTCATGAATATCATTTTTAATGAGCATTCTCAGCTGCATTAACCCACATTTTACTGCAGACTGCCATTCAACAGACAACCTCAATTTGCTTAACCACTGGGAAAAGTCTAATTAAATCAGATGTTAATTTATTATTATAGTCCTTTTTTTCTGAGTTACTAGGGCAAGAAAACAGGAAGGCATTTTTTTAAGTTATCAAGTCACTGCCACTCTTAAAGACTGCAACCCTACCTACCCCGCAAGATCCCTCTTGCTTGCAAAGGAATAAGAGCAACAGTGGCACAGCCCCAAACTGCTTTAGAGATCCAGTTTTCACTGTCTCAAAGATCAGAATGTACTTTGATATTGTGACAGTTTTCACTGTCTTAAAGATCAGAATGTACTTTGAAATTCTAACAGCAATGCAAACAAGTGTATAAAGGCAATGGAGATGGAATCCCGAGGAACTGCTAAAAATGCGCAATATGTGTACTTTGTCTAAGAAACAATACTACACTCTGCCTCACAGCACAGGGGAGTAGAGAGAGCTCCTTCGTGCAGAGATGCTGGAACAGAGACCATTGCTGCATTATTTGTGTAATGATAGCATCCATAAGCTCTTCCTGTGGGCTGGCCATCATAATGGATGCTGTATAAGCAATATGTTTACTTCCTAACAAGTCATTATACTGTTTGGGTCTTTAGTCTGAAGAGGAAAAAGAAGATGGCTGAAAACCTACCTGCTCCCAGTGCTCCAGTTAAACAGCTACTGGAAGGGCATCCACTGGTTGGGCACCCATTGACAACTAGTCCACTCCCTTTGATGGCCCCATCAGAAGGTGTGCGCCTGTGCCCGCTCTGCTGGGTGTGGGAAGAGACTGTCACGTGTGTGGGAGTCAGGGACTGGTTGGGGTCTTGTTTGAACCTCTCAATCTGGACATTGACTAGGGGGTTGGTAATGGCTGGCAAGGGAGCCTTGACTGTCACTGGGCTGACAGGCATTTCATACACCACAATCTCATCACTGTCTGAGCGCAGCAGGGACCGGGTGGAATTACATTCGGAAATGGAAGACAGGGAAAGAAGGGTGAGGGATGTGGATGGCTCGCCTAGCAACAACATAGGATCCTCTTTCTTGAAGATCTTTCGGGAAGGTGGACTAGTGCTCCTGCGTGGGCGTCCAGCTCGCTGGAAAATGCTGTCGCGCTTCTTCTTCTCTTCCTTGGGTGCCTCTGGCTCCTCCTCAATCAGCAGCTGACACTTCCCTGCTTCTAACAGATCAAACCCCAGGCCTGCAGCAGCCAGCACTGCTCCACAGCCAAGCAATGCAACCTCACATCGCTTGTGGTGGGAGCCACTACGTTTGAGACTGTTGGTGGGTGTCAGCTGTGGGGTACTAGTAGCAGAGTTCACAGGGGTGGACTCCTCATTGGCATCACTAGAAGGGCCATCCCAGTCTTCATTCTTCTGAAATGGGATGCAGAGGTATGACTGATTGTGCCCAGGTGAAGGGTGCACTTTGCCCTCCCCATTAAGACATTCACTGTCTTCATCATCTGGAAAGCAAATGAAAACAGGCTTTGCATGGATGTAACATTTTCACTGGCAAATTTCACTGTCTTACAAATATACATGAAAATAAGCTTCTCCTCAGAAGATGCAAATTGTCCTCATCACAAGCATCATTCACCAAATGCCAAATACTCACAGGCTACTGTCTCCAAAGCAGATAGGCTAAGACAAGTAACTGGAAACGCTATCAGAGCAGAAGAAATTAGCGACACGTTAATCTATTTGAGATCAATTGCAGAACAGCATTTCAGAAGCAAGCTACACCTCAGTGACTTATACAGTAAATTTATATGTTTGGGAGTGAAGAGCAAAAGATAGGAAAATTATAAGGATCTATCCTTGCAAGTGAAGGTGTAGCCATGCTGCACATCTAAGTATCAACAGGAAAGGAGCTGAGAGGTAGCATGGAGCTAGAGGGGAATTAAGAGAAGTTTGTTAGCTTGACAGATAAGAAGCACAAGCAGAGAGGTGAAAAAAAGAAAATCCAGAAGGAAAAGGTAGTTACTTCACAAAGAATAAAAGAAAAATGGATACCACCAAAAGGAAAACATTGCTGTAGGGTACCAAGTGAAGGTCAGGAAAGGAGAGGTTCATTCAAATGTGAATGCAAGTGGGGATGAAAATACAAAGTCCAGGGAATTCATTTACCCATCTCTGCTAAGCTGGTGAATCCTGGAAAAGCAGGTGCAGTTCTCTGGATCTTCCCAAGGTTTGGTGCACTGGATGACCACTGTTTGTATCCTTCTACCAGAGCTTTCAGACTGAAATAGTAGAAAGATGGGAGAAAATGTACCATGCTCACAAACAATTTTCATTCCCCCCTTCTATATTCTCTATTGATCTAATTAGGGTATGCATGTATTCTTCTTAATTACATAGATTTGAAGTCCTTCCTTAGCAAGACATTTTGCAACATCTTTACAGCACCTTAGAATACAAAAAAGTCATAAAGTCCCTCCCTCATTTGTTACACCATGGCAGTCAAAAGACCTCTGCTGATAAGCAACAGCTACGAAGAAAGAATAATAGAAAGCACCACTACAGAAATCAGATGAAACATTTTCTTTTTAAACCAAAGCAAACCTACTATGGCAGGTAAAAAATGAAGTGCTCAGCAGGAGGGGAAAAATATCTCCAAAAACATTTCCATGTGAAATACAAATGAACAATGAAAGTCAAAGATCACTCACTGGGACAATAACATGCTACAGTCATTGTAACAGCAAAGTCATTCCTCCATATTATAAACCTCAATATTTCTCCTCTAAAGGAAACACTGCAATGAAGTACAGACAGTTAAAAGCATAAGTTCTAGATCATGGAAAAACAGGTAGATAAAATCATAAATCATGTCATTGTTTCCCTTACTTACAGAAAAAAAACCCCAAAACTCACAAAAACAAAGAAATGAAAAACTCAAAACCAAATCCCTACTTATACCTTTAAATGCAAGTGACATCAGTCACCAGGCACCTGAGCTTATTAGTAGTCCCTATTCATAGCCATTCATTCTTTACCATCATCCTATTTGTTCCCCGCAGCACCTTCATGACATCAGAAACATCTTTAGTAAGCAGCACAACTTTCTGACATATCAACACTGAGCAAAGTTTTATTGTTCAGTTATCAGTATAGTCCGAACTGGGAGATTTCTGGTGCCTTTCTTCAAACTCCAACATGAAACACATGGTAGTGAGGGTGAAAAGCTAACATACACTTAGGATAGACAGAAAATTGAATGAAAGGAGTAAAAAGATCTGTGGATAGTCTGAATGATCTCAACTGGACACACAAAAGCATCGCCTTGTTATTGAAAGAACAGAAAAATTAGGAGATCAGACCTCTTCCAGGTCCATTACTAACTAGCATTGTTCTTTGATAAGACACGTAATTCATTACAATCCTTTGCTTACAGAGAAAGAAGGGTATGAGCATATAGAAGTTCTCTTATGATTCTTATTTGCCACCGGAATCACTGGGCATTTCTAAAATGGCTTCCACTGCATGATTTCAAAGTTTAATTATATCAGGTTTTTTGCCTTGGTATGCATTTTTCCTTTATTCTGTACCTAACTGGGATGCCCTGCTTGTCACCAAACTAGATTGCTACAGCAAGGTCACAAGGTCTAAACCTGATCAGCACATGTTCAGTTAGTTGATGACCGTGCTATAGGCATTACGCTGAGTATCCTGTGCTGTTCTCAACTGTCTTGAAAACCCATCATTTCCCCCCCATGACCATTCTGCCACATGCAGTACCTTGCTATGAACTTGAATCCAAACAGCATAGTGCTGAATCCTACTTGTCAAGAAAGACAACCACATGGTTTTACAACAGAGATGCAATTCAGTGTGTGATTTACTCTCTCCATACTATACTCAGCCATGTAACACAACCCACCAAATAATGGATCTTGTATCTAAACTATCCATGTGTACAACATGCATAGTTAGGATAAATACTAGGTTAGTAAAATAATACTTAGTTAGGATAAATAGTACTAATACATAGTTAGGATAGCAAAGTTGTAAGTGATAGGCAGCAGTAATCTTCAGTTTAGCCTTCACATTACAGTCATAGCTATCTAAAGGGTCTTGGGAATTGCCCTTTATTGTACAGCAGGACTCATCAACTTAGTTTGCTTCCTTATGACTTATCAGAGCAATCTTCCCTTCCAAAAAACAAACTGAAGATTTGCTATTACTGACAAAGCACAGCTCAATCTGAACAGAAAGATAAGTAACTACCAGAATAATTTCAAGGCCTGCTACGTCTGCCTACAGGTTATAAAATCTTTATCCTTCCCTTGTATTTTTTCCTCCTTCTCTCTCTCTCCCAAATTACAAGCAGACCCCAAAGACCTGTGCAGAGGACAGCTGCACATCCTCTTAATTAGACAGTAGTGTGCATTTGAAAACAATTCAAAACATGCTGACTTAAATAACACTGCTGTAGTAGTAATGTACTCTGTTGCTGCTCCAAGGAGAGAGAAACTGGAATGATTTGAAAGCACTAGCAGCAAAACTAGCTATTTTAGTCGCTAGTGTGACAATTCAGGAATGTAAAGACTTCTTATCTGTAATCTATTTAGATTAAATAACAGGAAGGTTATTTCTCTGTTGTATTATGGTCAAGTTACTTCTCTGTTGCCTTTTTGTACTAGGAAGTCAAAAGCACCTCTCTTCAGGACTGAAAAGGTGACGAGGCTTATTTGCTGAGCAAATTGCAAAAAACTTCCTTACAACTGGAAGATGTAAGATGGCATCTCTGGTGTCTTAACATCATTCTGTAACACCATGCTGAGGTGTTAATACAATACTGTCATGAATAAAAAGTCTCTGTTCCCAGTCTCATCCCTTTTTAGCTTGCAAGATTTTAAGAGATAACTGCTAAAGGACTATGAGTACCCCACATCCAGTGTCACCTTCTGTAAAATCAGTAACACCACCAGTGTAAAAACTTAAACAGGGTAAAGATCACCCATGCCATTGTAACAGTGTGAAAATAATCAAGTTTAAGCCAAGTTTAAAGACAATTAAGACTTCAGCATATATCCTTGAGAATATACCGTAAGATCACAATTGAACTGTTACAACACTAAAGCTTCATCTGGTCTCTGCAATTCACACAGCAACCTTCCACTGCTGTGTATATTCCTTATGCTCAAAGATAAATGCAGAAGGGTGAATAATCACCATGTGATCTTTTCATGACTGCCTTTACTTGATGTTAATTATAGGTCAGTTTACTCAGGCTAGAGAATTTCACTGTAATTCCCACAATGTAATCCTTGCATAAATTTGGAATTACCTCCTGTGGAGAACACATGGAAAGTGATATAAAAGATGAAGATTCAAGTTCCCGTGATCACAGTGTCATGCAAGCAACTGGAATAGCAGCATTGCTGCTACTAGAACAGTGTCATAGAGAAGACTTCTGTGTCCTAAGTTTAGCTCTTCACTTGACCCCAATTTTTATCCTCCTACCCTTTAAAATTAGAATTAAAGAATACTAAAACCAGCAAGGACTCTGTATTTTGAGTCGTTAACATTTACTGCAACTCTGCTCCCTTTAGTTTAAAGCCTGCAGTCTGGCACGATCTCAGCAAGACACAGTAGTTCATTGTATGTTAATCATACTGCCCTGCAACACTATCATGTTTCAGATACTCTGCAAAATGCCATAGGTGTACTGAGTCTCCCTGGAAGAGGTGATGAATACTATAGAACATCTCAGTTGTAGAGAGAATAGGATGGTTTTCATGGTTAGCAAGCAATTCCTCTCCAGCTGTCTGTGTCCAAAAGCAATTCAATGATTCAGACTGTACAGTAATGAACAGAAAACTGAAGAGCTTTACTCCTAGAATTCTAAGAACATGATTTCAAAGTAGAAGTGTTTTTCTACCAGCTTCAGTGATCTCCTGCCCTTTTATATAATTAATGATTGTAAAGCGTAACATCTGTTTCAATTCCATAGAATGCTATACTTCATCTATAAGTATAGCATAGGTAGTAGTAAAAGAAGCTTCCTCCACATTGCCCTAGTAACATGTCCGAGTACCTTTGAGGGAGAACGTATTTTAATGTCATTAGAACACTTAGATCCAGGCCCTCTCACAGAGGACTGCAATAACAATGCATTATGTAAACATCTATTTTCCAGGAATTTCACACCTGAGCACATAATATTAAAGATAAATTATAACCAGTTATTTTATTTTCCCTGCTAAATAACATGGCAAGAGTCAAACTATTAATTTAGCAGGGGAAAAAGCTTCAAACTCCACTAAAAATCACAAGGCATTCAAATCTTTTAAAAGATCAAAATACTCCTATGTTTAAAGCAGAATTCTGGCAATGATCTGTTGGAGTCCTGGTATAAATAAATTCACACACACAAAAAAGAAAAAAGCAGCCACAGAACAAGAATCTATAGAAATAGAGGTAAAACCTGTATGTCTGCAAAAATCACTTTGAGGATGTATTTACTCAAGGTACATGTCCTTTTCAAAAGCCTGCAGAGAAGATATTTGCCTGGCTCTACCAGATACTTTTTTTAAAATAGCATTTAAGACAAGAAAAACCATAGCTGAGAATTCTAAAAGAGAAGTAGTTTCAGATATGATATGAAAACTACAGAAAGTTGAGCCTGAAATTAAAGAAAAGCTACTAGAGAAACAGTTTTGCACAGCTAAGAAGTTCTACTGCTTACAAATATACACATAACAGGATAATAGCAGACAGTGAAAGCATCAGTCAGTGCTGGACCTCTAGCAAGGGATTGAATGCAATGCAGTTTTGTGTTCTGTTCTAAATCTCTAACATCTCCAGTACAGCAAGTAAGTTTGGAAGCAGAAAAGTGTTCGCAAGAAGACATGCAACCAGCTCCTGGGAACCAGCTCATAACCAGTTTCAGAACCTGGAAACCAATCTGGTTCCAGGACCCCCCTTACCCATCTTCTCCTGCACCTAGCTCCTTGTGACAAAGTGAGCTCGGTCCCCAGGTGCGACCCTTTTTCTTCTGGCCTCTCTTCTCTTCTTCCTCTCCTTCCTCCTTTGGAAGGACTGAGCTTCGTCCCCATGTTTTACTGCTTTCAGCAGGCGTCACTTCACAAGTGGGAAAAACAGTGGAAAATGGGAAAGAGAAATAGATACACAAATTAAAAAATTGGTTCCAGAGCAACATAAAGAATAAAACATAGGCCGGAACAGTAATAAAAATATCCATTCAGGCTTCTTTCCCATAATTCTGACCATTTATCACTACAGATCTAACAACAAGATCCCTTCAAAATTAGTGTAGATGGGCTTTACAGCTTCATTCCATCACTGGTTTCACTTTTAGAACCACCAGTTTGACACCAGACACACAAGTGTCATGACATCCAATACAAACACTACACATTAATGAACATCCCATGCTTGCCTGCCTAATTCTGTTATGGGAACACTATTTTCATGACAAGTGCCCTTCTTTTTTGGTTCTTCCTTCCAACAGTAGCTTAATCCACTTCAATAATGTTTCACAGATCTATTCTGCAAATTACTATTTTTAAAAATTAACCCGTACACCTAAGGAATGTATTTTCTATACAATCAACCAGCAGTATTTCAAGAACTTGGTAAGTAAGGTTTGGATTCCAAAGAAGGTGATACTCCCCTCCATCACCAATGCACTCCATTTTTCTCTCTAAATGCATACGTGCAGGGCACAAGGCAAACATTTTAGAACTTTTTTTCTTTTTTTTTTACAGTCCTGTCCTAGATATGGAATCTTAGCATCTTACCACGCTGACAGACTGCACATTTCCCAAATTCAATACTACATTGAGCTCCTTACACTGTATGGCCCTGAGTCTGGGAATAATGGTAGGACTTGCAGGAGGGCTGGAGCAGCTACTGATCAAGCTTTTCCTTTTATCCATCGTTGGAGAAGCCTGCACAGTGAATTTATGCTGGAAATCTGTTTACCAAAAGAAAAAAAAAATCAAAACAAAAGCAGAAAGACACAGTTAAAATTCTTTGGTTTTAATATAATAAAAAAGAAATAATAATTTATGGTAACTTTCAAAGAATGCAATTTACGGGATCTATGTTGAAATTAAGTTTTACAGCTAATTGCTATCACCCCATCATACACGCAGTTACTTCAGAACAAAGATGTGCACTCACTCATGAAGATATATCTTCTTAGTTTATGTGTGAGATACATACACACATAGATCCTCACTTGCTGACTGACATTTATGCCAAAGTGTATCCCTGTATAAATTCCTTTCGCCTTATCTCTCAGTTTCTTAAGCTAAGCAAAACCACCAGCAATAGGTGTTTACAGACCTGAAGAAAAGTATAGTTAACATGCACATTTTATCATCATTGCTCTTCTGAACAGCCAGTCTCTCACAGAAAACAAATATAGCGCAAGCCATCATCCTTGAGATAACGATGAGCCCTAGGTGATTTACAAAACCCACACTTTTGTTCTTTTGTAAATTTGAATCTCCATACAGAATTTGCAGCAGAAATGCTAAGGATTCAACATTTCTGAAAATCACCATCTTCACTCTTAAAAGTGACTTCCCCAACACTGCACCAATATTTAAAATTTCTTCCAGAAGGATGGCATTAGAGGTCACTTGTGTGTTAATATGAGTCCACATATGACCTAGCAATTAAGGGCTGTAGTCTCACAGCCATCAATGTATTTTTGATAATTTTTAGATTCCTGCACCAAGAAATCCAATAGATTATGGTTTTTGCTGCAGCATTATGTAAAATATTCCTAGAGCAAGAACTTCCATCATTTTTTTATTTACATCCTTTGTTAGACTGATCATTTTGAGTATTAACATGTTAAACTGCAACATTAACATTTTTACCATGAACCGTATACAGCCATTGATTAACAAACATGTAACATCTCAAATTTATTTCTGGCCTTCATACTTGGAACTTTGGGGAATGCAAGACACGCAAGCATCAAATTTAGGTTCCTGATTCCAAAGAGGCATGCAATACTTTCCAAAGAGTACATCCAATACTTTCTAATGCACAAGTAGCAGTAGAAGCTGCAGGTTCACCTGTTCCTCCCATTTAACCTGACATAGCCTAACATATCACCAACCTGAAGGCAGGCTGATATGATTGCCATCTTTTAACTTGAGCCGGTTCCTCTTGAACTTCCCCATGCGTTTTTTCACCCGAGGCTTCTCCTGACACAGCTGGTGGATGATGATGTTGAGCTCCCTTTCTAGGATGTCAATCTCACGTTCTGCCAGCTCCTGTTCCCGCCTTCGTAGCAACTCCTCATGGTTTTTCTGTTCAACAGCAGCACGAGTCAGCTCTTCTTCCCATGTGCGCAGCTCCTGCAGGGAGATAAGGAAAAAACAAAAAGCTACCTTGTGACCTGTGGGTTAAGACTAACATCCCCTGTTCTGAAGGTACTGCAGCAATGACTTCTCGCAACACTGCTAGCGCCACTATTCAAAGGCTCAGCTGAAAGCCAAAAACAATCCTCAAGAACTTCTATGTTTACCATTTGTATTGGGTTTGTATGGCAAGGTTTTG